CCCCCCCCCTCCTCCCCCCTGCTGGCGGACGTGCCAACTTACCTTCGCTGCGCTCCTCACCTCCCTGCTCCCTGCACCTCCATCGCTTCAGACGCCGGGGAAAACATGCTGGTCAAGTTTAAAGCTCTGCGCGCTGCATCTTCCTCTCCAGCTGGCGGTCATGGTCTCCAGCTTCCCGCGTGCCCGGACCAGGTAACCAACGGGAGTTTTCAGCCGGTGCACCGCTCGGACCGACCTGGAGGGGCTGTTATTGAAAACCTGCGGCCATTAGCGCGCGCTAACTCCACCACTGCTGGCTCCACTTCGGACAATATCCGGATGTGTTTGGTCAACGCAAGATCTGTTACCAACAAAACTTTTATCCTCAGGGATTACTTTCAAGAGCACGATTTGGACTTTCTGTGCATCACAGAGACTTGGATGTCTCCGGGTGAGTCCAGCGCCTTGACGGATTTACTGCCACCGAACAGTCTGTATTTTAACGCCCCGCGGCCATCAGGCCGGCGCGGTGGTGGATTATTAACAATATTCAAATCAACTTTTGACTGTAAACAACTGCCCATCCCAGTTTCCCGTGCCAGCTTTGAGCTGAGCGTCTTTGAACTCAGACATTCACCTCAGACTTTATTTGCACTTGTCTTCCGCCCACCTCGGTCTAAGGATTTCATAAATGAGTTTTCTGACTTCTTGGCTGAAATCACACCAAAATATGAGCATGTTTTCATTATTGGGGACTTTAATTTGCACGTGTGCTGTCCTGAGAAGCCCTTGGTTAAGGACTTTTTAGATTTATTGCACTCATTTAATTTAACTCAGCATGTAAACGGTCCGACCCAAGAGCGTGGACGTACACTGGACCTTGTTTTAACTCATGATATGACTGTTAATAATCTTGTTATTGGTGATAATGTTTTTTCAGAGCACATGCCAGTCTGGTTTGAGTTCACCCTCCCCCATCTAACTCCTAAGTCGTGCATTCCTGCACGTAGGACCCGGACCATTAACCACTTCACTGCCACACATTTCACAAATGTTTATAACTCTGAAATGATAATTCAGGCCCCAGTGTTTCTCTCCACCACTGAGGAGCTGACATCCCAGTTCAACTCTGT